GTTTGATATATGGACCTGCAGCAGAGTTTAGGCCCAGACACAGCTAGTGACATCAGACTTAACGACCGGATTCCAAAGGGGAATGTAACTAAGCCTTTTTCCATAATTAATTTTCTTCTGAAAAAGAAAAATAATTATAAGATAACTGGCTGTCTTGACAGAGGCATTTAAATTAGGAAATAATCTTATTATTCCTAATATCATTGGTAATAATTACATCATGATGGCTTAGATATTAGGAATAATCTAGCCATCAATTTTCTAATCCTTAACTTGCAGTGGGGAAAGAGACTGAACTATCATAGGTCAAGAGGCAAGGTACACCCTTGACAGGATGACACTCTTTCACTTGGATAACACATCGACACAGACCCATTCACGCTCACATGGCCAGTTAAGAATCACCTATTAACTTAAAGTGCATGTCTTTGGACGGTGAGAGAAAGCCAGAGTACACAGAGGGAACCCACAGGGGCAACATGCAAATTCCTATAATCAGGAATAAGAACATTAAAAAAAAAAGTGTGGACACTAAGAAACTGAATTTTAATGCATGAATGTTTGTTCATTATTATTGGAAGTATTAGTTTGACAAATAAATACTAATGTTTCCTGAAGCTTTTAGCATATGTAAAAGGCTTTCATTGGCACTTGTCATGTTCATCTACATCCACTAATTAACATCATAAAATGTGACTGACTATTGGAGAAAAGCATAAGTGGACCATAAAATTATAGTTTTGTTTTTTCCAACATAATTCTTAACATGAAGATAATCAGCTCTTTATACTGTCATTTCAACTGTCATTTCAATAACAATAATCATCTCATTAGCATAAGTAAAGGGTCTGTACACCCACACAGCAGCTTTTAGCTGATTAGCTGCTTTTCTTTGTGGTTTAAGGCTGAGAGCAAAACAAAAAAAAAAAGGCTGAGAGCAAACATACATATGTATGGTTGTCCTACTGTACTCTGTCAAAATCTCCTCTTTGAAAAAGGCCTTTCATAGAGCTGCAAAGGTTAGCCCTGCCAAAAAAATTGCATATTATTTGTCTAACATTTGATGTTTTTTGTCTTCCTATCTGTGGGTGGTCTTTTGTAATTGCCGAATACCCAGAGGAATCATCTACCGTACAATGACATTTTTTTTGTTTTTTCCCACAACATCACGATCCCAGAGCACTCAGCAACATCGGATGCTATATTTGTAAATGTGCTTCCTTACATAGGATATATTAGAAAATCATATTTTATCCTATCAAGACTGAGAGTCCACTTACTCATACAAATCACTTTCTTGCATACAGACAAATGTCTGTGGCAGTGATTGGCTTACTGTGCCCACAGTTTTCACTGGGACAGTGTATTATTTTTTCCCAAGAATTTCACAATGTAAGTTCAGTCAACATAGAATACTGAATGGACTTCAAAGTATGGATTTGGATAGTCGTTTCATAAGCATAAAGTATTACTGTTGGCCTGATTTACTATTAAGTTGAAACATTTAACATCAATTTATCTTTGATGACTCAAATGACTTAGTTTATTTACTTAAAATCTTCAGTGGGGAAATGAACTGCTGCTAATAGCTGCTATTTAGCTGCTAATGATGGACAAGAGCTAAATAATATGGTTTTTACTTCATTTTCAATTCTGTGTCTGTTTTGAATTGAGTAGCTGTGGTACCATCTTTTGTCAACTAAAACAATGAAGCATTTTAAATTGCCCAAACAAACTGCACCAGATTAGAGCCCATGACTGACTCCTTTTCCATCACAGTGTTGCTGAGGCTCATTGGAACTGTAGTATTTAGACCCAGCTGTCACGCTACAGTGACAAGGAATGGTTTTGAAGTAATTAAAACTAGTGGGCATCTTATGAACTTGACGGTGCACAAATGCCAAATGTCTGTTCAAAGATCCTCTTGTCATCTCATTTTCTTTATCCCAGGCAAAAACATGGAAAATGGTGTCACAACATCAGCTGATATGCAACAGCAGGAACAGTGTTGATGCTGACTGATCCTATACTGCACAGTCGGTGTCATGGGAATCTGAAGCTGCATTACAAATAGCAGATACATGATAGCAGAATATTTTTAGATACTTCTAATCATAAAATTCTCCTACACACCACTCAGCACAACATCACAATGTCTGTGTGCAAAACACACGTACAGTGCCCCGCAGAATTTCATATAAAATGATAAGAGGCATATTTTAGGCAAGAAGTTGTTGAAATGAAATTCAAAGAGTAACCAAGGTGATACTTTACCTTCAGCTGCTTCGGTCATGGTTTCAAAATAAATATTCTGTTACAAAACTTAAATCCTTTATGGAGATTTTGTTGCCATGAAAACAAATACTTGTGGTAAATCCTTGGATCGTCTGCACAATTTAATCCCAGTGTTTAATTCCAGTCCAGCAACGTCATCCAAAAGGTTTGTGATATATGAGAATATGAAAAAATTAAACCAGTGACCACCACCAGAAACCCTACACCCCTTTGTCTATTCTCAGGATTTAATCCTGCACTATATTTCCAGGCATCAGAAAGTTTTAATGGGTCTTCGTTTGGAAGAAAGTCTTGAAAGCTGACTTCTGTCCCAGTGGATCAGGCTGGGGAGACAGGCAGAGACCAAGTTAACGTGGCCCGTGTCTTTGCCCTTTGCCTGCTTAGGGCTGGGATTGTAGATAGAGCAGCTTGTCCCCCCACCCACACCTCCACTGGCTCAGACAGAATTAGACCGAGCACAGGGACTGACGGATGATGGAAGGGAAAGAGAGAAAAGAGACTAGGAGCGAGAGCTTCAATGTAACTTTATCCCACCAGCCTATGTTGCCGTTGGAGTCACATGGTCATAGTATGGATAGTGCTTTCACATGTGTTAAAACAATATGTAATTGTATCATAAACTCCCAAATCTGCATATTTGTATTTTCAAAGTATTCAGTTGCAAACTTTCAAAGTCTGAATTCAAATTTTTACTATTGCATTCATAGTGTGTTTTCAATTTCTAAGCCTAAGGCCCTGAGTTATTCTTAGATCGGCTCACGTCAACTGGTATTCTGCTTTGCCTTTTTAGGCCAGAGGCGTGACCTTAACACCCCATCCCCTTTCCTTCCTTCCAGCCCCCGCCCTCATGATACCAAATCCTGCTCATTCAGACCTCCACTGCTCAGAGCAGAGCTGTCATGAAGTGGAAAGAAAGAAAACAAAGATCAGAAGAGCTGAATTGCTGGTAATATTTTACACCAGGTTACATGCAAGTTGCCAGTTGTCAGAGGACTCGAGTACAAGTCAGCTTAAGATTCCTCAATAAAGTAGTAGAAGTTGGTGATCAAAGTCACACTACTCACTCTCTCCAAGAATTGTATGCCTTTTCCTTGTGTCTACATGAATAATTATACTACCTTTGAAAAACCTCGGTGGTTTTTATTGTTGGATTGTATAGCTACTCAGAAACTTTTAAAAGCTAGAATTAAATAAAATTAATAGTAATGAGAAGAAAGTTTATTAGTACTTAAAAAAAACAATGAAAATGCATGTTAAAATACATATGGTAATAGTAAGTTAATAGTTAGAACTTTGGTTGTAAACTTTGGTACAGAAAAATGTGAAAATTATTTTCTTTCAATATTTTCCACAAAGACATCTTCTTAAAACCTAGACACAATATGCAATACACAGCATTTGGACATCATTTTTAAAAGTAATCTGGCTATTAGAAGATTTTAAAATAAGATAAATCCAACCTTAGATGACACTATACAATATATTACATAGTGTCATTATTTATTTAACAAAGTAAGCCAAAATTCAAAATAGAAACAAATCGTTCCTATGGTAAGAAGGTTATTTACAATTGGAAAATATCAAAGACAGTTGATCTTTCCAAACAATTCTTTAAAAAACAACACCCTTTGCTGATTACATAGCTCATATCTCTTATCCTTCCAAGAAAAAAATATATTGGTAAATTGATACTGATATTAGATTTTTTTGTTGGGTTTTTTTTGGTTTTGTTGGTGCACATTAATGGCACACCTCAAGGTCCTTTCTTCTTTTGCATTTCCACACTGACTGCCACGATAACCACAATGATCACCACTGCTATAGAAAAACCAATAATGAGCCATATTGTGGTAGGTTTCCTCCAATCTGAAAAAAAAAAAAAGAAAAACGAGGGTAAGAAGTTATATTTGATCATTTGCAATTCAAAGCGTGTTGTCACATATCAGTGCATATGTTTCCAGCCAGGGGGCTGGAGGCTATGAATGCACACATGGGGAGAGCATCAAACGCCACACAGAAATGCCCCAGTGACCAGTGGATTCAAATCCAGGAGCCTGTTGCTGTGAGGCAACAATGCTAACCACTGGGCCAATGTGTTGCCGTATAGTAAACTGGCATCAAAGTAATTTTTTTTCACAGGAATAAATCATTTTCACAATACAGTGGAACCCCGACTTACGAATACCCCATTTCACGAAAAATTCAAGTTACGAAGGCACTGAACGGCAATATTTTTGCCTGTGTTACGGCAAAATGCCCGAGTAACGAAATCCGCTGGCTCTGATTGGCTGAGCCTACAATGTCCACAATGCCTTCCGAATCATGTGACAACCTCTTGGCTTCCGTACTTGCGCTTCGCTGTTCCACTTGAACGACGTATTGTTGTTCTAGTTAGCATTTAGCCTATAGCCTATCGCTCAGCATCGCCTCACTCAAAACCTGCGATGGGTGCTTCGACTTACGAAAATTTTCGACTTACGAAAGACCCTCGGGAACAAATTAATTTCTTAAGTCGGGGTTCCACTGTACTAAATTACATGAAAAATTATGTGATTTTTGTTTTCAGATAGCACAAAGATGCACTTTAGCTCTAAAACAAACTAATCAAACTTTTCTTTTGAAAATACGGACTTATTAGGGAAGCTCAATGAACGTAAGAGTGTCACGTACAATTTTGGAAGCCTTGCAATGATGAGGTCTGGAAGAAAGAAAGAAAAAAAAACAAATAAGGAGCAATACCTTTATTGAAAATACCAAACCACATACATCAGTTATTGCATGTATGCCCATTAATAAATCAGTAAGTGAAATCCTTACCTGGTGATTTGGAGATCTAAGAGTTCTCCGGATGTCATTCCACATGGTATTATTGAGGTCACAGTCAAGCAGTTGGTCCTCATAAAACAGACAATCCACAGTCAAATGCACATTTGAGTTGTTCACCTGACTCCGGCTTTTAGCTACAACATGTTGAGGATTGTAGGTGTGATGCATCACCACCAGAATTGCACGTTTACCCACTACAAACAAAGACACAACATGATCAGATGATTCAGGAAAAGAGATTAAATAAATGGGCTGGGTTACTAGATCTTGAACTCATGCTGTAGTACATAAACACCACATGTGGTTCTTGGCCTGTATCCTACATGTGGCCCTGTATATAAATCACTTAAATTATTTATAAAAAGTCACTTTCATTTTTTCCTTACATGGTATTTTGTCGAGGGCCTCAGCGATGTCTGTCCCAACTCGTGAAACCACAGGACAGAAAATCACACAGTAGTCACTTTCTTGTGTAGACGTTTCCTCAGTTTGGCCAATGCCCCTAAGCTTCTGAACAATTGAACGATGAGCGCCATTTGTTCTTCCGGCCAAAATGACACGGAAAACTTTCCACAACCCTAAAGATAGATTTAACAATATATATTTTAGTTATTTCTGAAACTGAAGACAAAACACCAAAGCTTTTCTTTTTTGTTTCTTTTGAAGTCACCATACTTAATTAATATACAACTGATTTCATATATACAGCAAATGCAGCTTGATCATGACACTGAGTGAATCAGTGTTATTTTCATTTGAGGCTAAACTAATAGATATAAATTACGGACGCCTTGTGAGCCATTCAAAATTATCAAGTAGCTTTCTGTGTAGAAATGACTACAGCCAATGGAAGCCAAGGAAATAATCATAACTTACTATCTCTGAAGAGAAAAGACTGAACATTTGACCTAGATGTTTCATTTCTAACCTGTTGGGTAAGTGCACAAGAATCTGAACTATCAATGGGAAAGTTAGCATTACAACAGAAAGTAAAACTAAGTTAAAAAAGTCTGGGTTTTCTTTCTTGTCTCACCCTATGTATTAAACTGACCTATTGCAACATTTCCTTCATCACTAATGGAAGCTTAATTTGATTATAATTAGTTTTTTACTCTATAAGCTGATTGTAAACCAGCTATCCCAGGCAAATTTTGTATTGATCTTATACTAGCCTTGCTTTAACAAGTAAGAAAGAAGTCAGTGATACTTATCTGACAAGATATATTTTAGGATGACTGATATGGGTGACTTGAAATTATTACTCATTCAATAAGTAAATGCAGCTTATTCACCTTAATATTGACAGATTTAATGGAAATATTAAAAAATAAAGCAAAATTATTCTCTCACCATTTCCCTGGTCCATGTCTCTGAGGAAGGATAAAGAATTAGAAAACAAACTTTAGTTGAAATTAACTAAATCCAATATAGCCAAATAGCAGGAGGTGCAGATCCATTAACTGAATGCATTATACATTTTCTTTACTAAAAGCTGTGCAACTTTTACTGGCCTAGAAGACAAACTTTAAAAATAGATTACGGGTGTAACTTGTATTACTCTGATGCAAGACATTTACATTTTGCAGACTAAAGTTACTTACATGCAGATTACAATTTCTTGACTTGTTTTGAAACAGAAATTCCTTCCCAACAGAAAAAAAGAACTCTAGTGTCTCCCCGTGCAATGAAGTGCTGTCAGTTGTTCTTTGAGAATTAACTTGTTCACCAGTTGAAAACAAAACTGGACAGGCAGGTAAAAGAATGTTAACGTCAGTGTGACTCAATAGACTAAAAGGATATGCAACTACAGGTGGTGATGAGATGGCCTCAATGTGGCCAATCCCTTTAAGCTTTTGAAGAACTGAACAATGAACCCCAAAATGAAGTAGAACAGTCTCACACGTTCAGTTTAACTTATCCCATGTGACACTACTCAGTCAATCAGGTCATTTCTACACATGATAACGAGAAGCTGACAGAAGAAGTTAGAGAGAGAACAGACTGGTTAAAGCTTTATTTCATTTGCCTTCCTATGTAGGCCTATGCTACATTAGTTTAATGCTGGTCACAATGGTGGAATTTCAAGGGCCAAATATTTTCTGAGGTGGTGCTCATTGTGAAACATTTCAGAACCACTTGTGTGAAACGATTTCCCTAACTCTTCCTAAGCCATTGTTAAAATAAACGGATTAAATAAATAAAATAAAATCTTGTCAAAAAAGTAATGAGTAATATCTGGTATTTGAAAGATCATCTCTGTGTAAATGAATATGAACATTATGCTATAAATGTTGTAGACTTTTGGATTGTTTGTTAAAAGTTTACTACAGCCTGTGAAAACTGTGAAGCAGTGATTGTGCTATAGATAACATTTGGAAGCTCCACCAGTCTGTGCACTGGTCCATGACTGGAAATTTGTTGTTGAGTTAAATCAAGGTGCGCCTTTTTGCCTTACTGTATAAGTATAATTTATTATTATTATTATTATTATTATTATTATTATTATTATTATTATTATTATTATTATTATTATTATTATTATAAAAATAACTACAACCATTAGAATTACCAGTTATTGTTAGATTTGATTAATTATTTACTCTTTAACCTGTGAAACAACTATATAAACCATTTTTATATAAGGCAGCTATGA